GAACCAGTTCCAGGCCACGTCTTTAAAACGCAATCATTTAGCAATAAATTATTAATTTGAAGTTTGGATTATTCTGTATACTTTCCAGTTTCTAACTCATATTTAGCTGTTAGCTGTTTTTGTCAGCTGTAATTGTCTCTTCTGTCTTTTGTCAGGCGTTGTGCGTCTCTGAGGACTTTTCCTGTTAAGCCTTCGAGTCAAACACCTGGAGCAGAGCGTGACACTGCGCCACCTTGCTGTGCACACACATCACCATCAAATCCCTTTAACTACTGCTACACATGAAGTCATGCTTTCACAAGGATGTAAACAAGAACTGTTCACGCACTAATCCTCTCTGGCAAACTGCTGCATTTGCTTCAACTCAACACAGACATTCACAGGCAAATCTTAATGGAGAGAGGCGCTTCTTACACACAGTAGGACGTCAGCACTCTCTGAGAAACGAGACAGGAGGAGAGTCCTGGACTGGTGCGTGTCCTTCTGCAACTTTTAAGAAGGAATCAAGATGTTTCAACACAGCAATCGATAGGTCCTGCACAGATCCGCATCCCCACAGAGGCAGCAGCAGCCGCAGCAGCTGCAGCCGCAGTTGCTCCAGCAGCTGTCCTCAGACCGGGAAAGAAAGCTCAAAGTCCCCAAGGAAGTAACACAGCTTTTAGGGTCTCCAGGTTTTCAGCAAGGAAGCTCTGTTTGATAAATGGACCCTGCAAAAGCAACGGACAAGCGGTAAGGAGGACGAAAGAAGAGGAGGAGGAGGACAGGAGGAATGGAGGATGCATGGTGCATCAGTTCAGAGAGAGGAGGACAGATGCAGTGAGGAGGCGATGAGCGGCGCGTGTTTGGTGAAGAGAGAGTGAGGCAGCCACAGAACGGAGTGTATGGGCTACTGGCTCTGACTGAAAGAACTGCAGTGTTTCTCACTATGGCGCCACACACTCAGAGAGGGAGTGAGAGAGGGAGCACAAGAGGGAGGGAGAGAGAGGGAGAGAGAGAGAGAGAGAGAGAGAGAGAGAGAGAGAGAGACGTGTTGCCATAGGAAATTAAGGCAGCTTAGTTAATGTGACTTGATGTGTGCGTTCATTGACTTAAAGAAACCCACCTCAGGCTGTTTGGCAGCATACTGTGGCCCATCGCGGTAACCTACATGTAAACATCAGTCGCATGCTTCACTTGTCAGCGGACGACCCAGGAGGCATGTTAGTGCCATCTACTATGACAGCACATGGCCTTCGTACGCCGCCGTCCAATAACTGACATCTTTCGAAAACCCTTCCTCTTACGTTCTGATGGAAATTACGTGCTGAGGTTCAAGCCTACAGACGAACCCACTGACGCCCACTTTGAATTCCCAGGCCAGATGTTAAGATCAGACGAAGTGGCACAACGTTAACCTTTGTGAAAGCAGTGCAGCATCTTACCCGCCTCCCCCACTGATCGGCAACGTGACAATGCAGGATCCCCCGGTTGACTGAACAACCTCAGACCTCCAGGCCAACACAGTTATATTTATATCCTACATTTGATAACGGAGGACACGGGAAACAGCCACGTTCAATGACAACGTTGGCTTCTGGGTCAGGGAGCACATCTGGGACAGGGTCAGGACAATTTAACACACACTATAAAAATGATTTACTTTTACTGCTGTACATTACTCTGTGATAAAGTTTTTATGTTGTCTAGTACCACAGTATATGAGTGGAGGTGAGTGTCGTCTCCCCTCACTCATGGAGGTGACTCATCAGAAATTCGGCGCTCCTCTAAGACTGCAGCCCATTCCAGTAAAACCACAGACTCTGGAGTGAAGCTGTTTTTTATAGTTTACCACTATTGGACCATTTGTAGTATATTTAGTATTTTTTATACATGCTTATTATTAAACAGGGAATACTAAAAACTGACAAAAATAATTCAATACTGGATAAATTCAAGAGAGCCACATTTACGGGCTTAACGCATCATTCAAGTCTGTATAATGACAAGATTAATGACTAAAACATCAGAGAAATTTCACACTGAGATGATGTCACATCCCTGTGTTACTACCAAATCCTCTCCTCAGAGCCAGACGACATAAATATGTAAATATCTGTTTTTTTAGTTTCTTAGTTTCTTCAAAACTGTTTAAAAAGTGAGACTTAAAAAAGGCCATAGTCATGTTTTATATTCAATAACAAAGTACTTTATACTGATCTGCCCACAGTTTGAAACAGCTGAGAAATACTGCATGTTCTCCTGTGCAGATCAGGACATTAATCTTTCTGCCTGGTATCAGCCTCTGCTGCTAAATAACACCCAGAGGTGTGTTTGACTCTCTAACCACAGCCCTGTAAACAGCTAATTGCCTGACAAAAAGTGGTCTTTGGGCTACGCGTTCTGCTGTCATAATGGCTGCTGAACAACTGAAAAGACACTCCTTTTATATCATCACTAACCTCCTGGAGAGAAAATGAGAGATAATGAGAGGGGAAACCTTTCCAGGCTGCTGTGACATCACTGCAGCAGCAGCAGCAGCAGCAGGCGCCGCGGGAGGAGCAGGAGGCGGCAAGGAGTTGGCAGTGCGTCACATCCCTGTGTTACTACCAAATCCTCTCCTCAGAGCCAGACGACATAAATATGTAAATATCTGTTTTTTTAGTTTCTTAGTTTCTTCAAAACTGTTTAAAAAGTGAGACTTAAAAAAGGCCATAGTCATGTTTTATATTCAATAACAAAGTACTTTATACTGATCTGCCCACAGTTTGAAACAGCTGAGAAATACTGCATGTTCTCCTGTGCAGATCAGGACATTAATCTTTCTGCCTGGTATCAGCCTCTGCTGCTAAATAACACCCAGAGGTGTGTTTGACTCTCTAACCACAGCCCTGTAAACAGCTAATTGCCTGACAAAAAGTGGTCTTTGGGCTACGCGTTCTGCTGTCATAATGGCTGCTGAACAACTGAAAAGACACTCCTTTTATATCATCACTAACCTCCTGGAGAGAAAATGAGAGATAATGAGAGGGGAAACCTTTCCAGGCTGCTGTGACATCACTGCAGCAGCAGCAGCAGCAGCAGCAGCAGCAGCAGCAGCAGCAGCAGCAGCAGCAGCAGCAGCAGCAGCAGCAGCAGCAGCAGCAGCAGCAGCAGCAGCAGCAGCAGCAGCAGCAGCAGCAGCAGCAGCAGCAGCAGCCGTCTGGTTGTCCTCTCTCACCTCTCTGTCCTTTGCCTTTGCGATGAACTATTTTCCATGTCCTGCATATCTGTTATCTTCATTTTATTTTTTCATGCATCACACTGTACATCTCTCATGTTCTCTCCCCCCTTTCCTCTCACTTTCTCACACACCGGGTTCGCGGTGTTTTCACCCTAATATGCTGCAGGTTGCTGATTGTAATGCACCGCACATCCATCACAGTAGAGCGAGAGAATGTCCGTCCGCCTCTTTGTGTTCCAAGGGACTTTTACTGATTTTGCGAAGTCACCTTTCATTCATTCATTCATTTTTTTCTACCTCTCCATTCTGTTGCTAAGGAAATCAAACTGATACCAGCTGACTTCACTGATAGCACAGGGTTCACATTCACACTCCCATTCACACTCCCATTCACACTCATTTACAACAGTTCCAGCGACATGCTCCTTACTCTGTCCGTCTGTGTACATTTCAGTAACACCTCACCATGTCTGTTTCCACAAAAACTCTAACTTACGTCTTTATAGAATTTTTTTTTTTTTTTTTTTTACTGAACTTCATCAGATAATCAACACGGCTGAACATACTGACCCTAACATTTCAGAAGTGATGATATTAACTGCATCGAAAAAGCCACTGTCAAAAACCTTCTGTCCCGAAATCCAACTGAGTGTGAATACACTTTGTTCCGTGACACTGATACATTCTGACATCTTTACTGTCACTGCCTGTGGACACGTCTACAGAGCTGACCTTCTACAAAGGATGGTGGAGAGACACAGACGTACAAAGAGGAAGGCCTTCTGTCTTCAAGTATAGCATGATTAAAGTTTCAACCTTGGAAGGATAAACTACACCCTAGTCAAAAATGTGTCATGAATAAACATAAAATGGAATTCATACACAGAAAACATTAAATTAAAAAACAGAATAAAAAATTCACGTTAAATTATTTAAACTGTATAACATCATTATCAACAACAGCAAATGTTTTTTCAGCTTTTGTAGTAAGTTGGAATCCAGCTCTGCCTGATTATTTTTCCTTCAAAACTGAAAAAAAAAACATTAAAAATAAACCTGGCTATTGGTAAAAAAAAAAAAAAGGCAAAATGTCATAAAAAAAATCCCTTGTATCTTTTTGACTCGTCCTCGTACGTGTCTGAGACTGAAGCCGTGTCTGCCCATTTAAGCGCTGTTAGCTGCACAAATTGTCAAACTGAGTAAATGTTAATGTGATATAGAAGACGGTGAACTGAGGTGACGGTGATCTCACACTGAGGCGCTCCCTCCTCCAGACCTCTGCATGGAGTCAGAGGTGAAAGCTGCCAAAGCTGCTAAAAGCACAGCAGTGGGTCTGACGACGGCCTCATACGCCTTCAACATCAGGTCTAATTACAGAGGAGTATTAGCGCTGTCTCCCCCCTCGCCTTCCCCCCTGCTGTGCTAAGGCAGACTCTTCCTTATCAGGGGATGATGAAAGCATCAGGTACTTACTGGACCAGTGAACCTGCTGTGAAGTTACACTCTAATCCATGCCGCCACTGGTTAATTGCTATAAATGACAGTAATTGGCAGGAGTACAGAAACAGGCAGCGATCCACTATCCCTGATTGGTCTTAAATTCACATTTACATAAGACGATCAAAGGGAAGCAGCAGCTCATTACACTTGATGAAAAATGTTTACTCCAAACTATCTAAACCGTGCTGGGAGTCTTCCTCTGAGCATTGGCTTCTCTCCCATTCTCTAAGATAATGTATCCTAATTTTTAACTAAATTGAAAAAACAAACAATTAAAAAACTGAATTCAACACAGTCCTACCTGTAGACCATGCTAGCAGTGGGCTGGGTGGACGCCTGGAAGAGGTGTCTCTGCGCGTACAGAAGCTCCTGCAACCTCTGCTGCTCTCGCGGTCTGCCGTCTTCAAAGATGGACGGCGGGCAGCCGGTGGGACTGGAGGGGTTTGCCTTATTTCCTGCCCCCTGCCTCAGCTGGATGGTACTGGGGCGGCGGTCCAGCCTCGGCACCCCTCTCTGCCTGGACACGGGCAACTCGGTGCACGCTGCCTTGAGATACATGTTTGGATCAGACTGGTCTCTGACAGGCTGTGGGCACACTTTCTTTTGTTGGCAAATCTCTTCCAATATATTTAGTCATCAGGGCGAGAGAATCTGGCCTTCAAACGCTGCCATGTAAGTACAGTGTAATGTGGGTCACGCGGAGGCACTGAGGACAAGAGGGCGAGTTTGTTTGGGTCAGAGTTATAGTCGTAGTACTGGCCTGGCCAAGTGAGTATTTTGAAGTAATGTGATTATTTCCCAGTGACATTCTGAACAAAAGCAGGACAAATGAAACAAACACCCTGACAGCTGTGTCATACCTGTGATGTCAACGTTATTCTTAGATGATTGACAGGTGAAAACACAAGGGCAGCTTCAGCCTGAGCTTCCCGAGGCTTAAGTGGGAGAAGTCGGTTTGTCTGTGGGGACAAGCTGGACAAAGACAAAAGGGATAATTGAGATGAATCTGGAACGATAATCTGGGTGCAAGGGCAGGGATTTATTAATAATAGAATTCAGAATTGCACATAGGTCGGCTATGTGAACAACCAACACTGGAGAAAGAATGGGTCGGCATCAACACAGAGAGACTAATGACAGGTGAAGAAGAGGTCCATCACAATAGAATGACAGTGGGACATATGACATTATGACAGATTCAATATTTTATAACATTATTTTTGGTTTTGATTTTGCTCATAATAACAATGTAACTGAAGTTAATCCCAAAGCAGTAGGTACAGATGCTGTGACCAGAAAAGAAATTGTTACTGATTGTTATCGTTAGGATGTTAAAAAGATCAACACTAGGATTTTACCTTCCTGACTTTTCTTCTCTTTTTAACACTACAGACGGGTGCTTTGGTTTTATACATCCTATGTACTGTAGCTTATTTTTAGATTTAGCGCCACCAATTGCCCTGCAACATTTACCAGCAACAGTGGGTTGCCTCAACACACCAGAGCTCTGCCATTACTGGGAATCAAACCAGCAATCACAAAACTAATCTTTTAACCTCATGAGCCAGTAACTCGTTGACTTAGCTTTCTATAGACGTCACTGAGTAAATTTGAAAAAGAAAATGACATGTTTTATAATGAGAGACCTGAGACTGGAGAGAGAGAGAGAAAAAAATCTCAACGTCTTCTTCTCTTAGACAGGACTTTGTGCGAGTCAAGAGTTTAATCTCTACAGGAGACAGAGTTTAAAGAGGAGGCAGATGCTTCATCGACATTCCTTTCATTATTTACAGGGATTTCCGGGGATGAGGGAGTTTTTGTTTATTTTTTGTGTTTGTCTGTCTTACATGAATATAAAAACAGAAAAATCCCCAACAAAAACAGGATAAAGCTTCTTTATGACTAACTTGTACCAGCCTGCCCTCTTGTGGTAAGACTCGAAAAATGCAGGCCACGTCCAAATTGACTCCAATGATTGTTAGTTGGCAAATACAGGAAATGGCTCATGTAACTAATTCTAATGTTTTATATGTTTCATCTGACGTCCACTGATGTCCATGATGTCCACTCATAAATGTCCTCTCCTCTCCTGTCTTGTTTTTATTTTAGTTTTAGTTTTTTAGTTTTAGTTTGTTTTGTGTTTGGCTTTTATTTTCAGAGGTGAAAAAAAGGAGAGTGGGGGACAGGAGCCATTGCAGTGGAGTTGCTGTGAGAAAAACTGAAAGTGAACTGTTTTATCATTTTATCATATGAAGTTATTTTCTTTGTTGTTTTTTTTTTTTTATTTTAATATGAGAATTCCCCAAATGCAAGCAGGTGTCAGCAAGTTAAAAAATGTGAACATAGCACAAGTGACAAACAGTACTGACCAATACGTCATCTGTCGCAGTAACTGACTTGCTCCATTCCAAGAAGTTGATCAACCTGGGAGATGTCACTCAGTTTCCCCAGACTCAGGAAGTGTACAGCAACCACAACACACAGCCCACAGACAGCAGCTAGCCACTGACAACACAAGCTGCCAGCTAACACCTTAACTAGGCACAGGTGGGGCAGATAGACTTGCAACGAGGGCAGAAGCAGGACACAAGAAAACACAGCCCCCTACTGGACAGGAGTGTATAAACACGTTGCTTCTCTTCATATTTACTTTTGTTTGCCTTTGTTTGTGTACAGATATGTAGTAAATGTCACCTTGTTTTTTAGGTAGAAATTGAAAAAACTATTTCATCTTCTTATCTAGGTCTCAACACTAAACATCACCAGACCTCAGGTCCACTCTGCTATATATAATGATTATATCAATGAAACTGTCGGAGTCGAAAAGGAATCTCTCCATCAAGCGCTTTTCTGCTCTCTAGTGTATATTGTTGATACAGCAGCTGACCTTGTGCCTTCCGTTCCATTCTGCAAGTCGGGCCTTTCTGTCTTGTGTTAAAGACTACATGCTTTGTTGACTGAAGACTGAGGAACCGTCCCTGTGCTGTCTCAGCTAGTCTGTCTGTGCAGTCTGTCCAGAATCGCCGTTAGCACTTATTAATAGGCTGCTGGTGCAGTAAATGTAGACAGTGTGTGGTTCATGTGGGGGAGTTGTGAGCACCTCACCCTGTCTGTGAGATCCTCCCACTCGATGTGCTGTATTTAGTCTATTTCTGCTCTGGAACATGTGAGGTCTTTTCTTCACTTGGTGACTCATCTCCACTCGTGGACAATCTGACTTCTGCTGGCACCGAGGCGATGATGCATGAAAAATCATTGTAATCTATGTATTGGCATACTGTAATATATAACTACCCACTGCTAATATTCAACATAAGAAAATAATAACAAACAGACCCGAGCCCTGTGTTAGCCTCTACTTTAAATCTTAATAACACAGCAGTTAAAATAAATCTTCAATACCATTAGGTTCTGTTCTATGCATCACTGTTTGTTAACTTCCATGTAGTCATTTCCAAAGTAGGGGACAAGGATCTCAGAAGGCACACAGAGCAGGGTCAAACACAAACAAACAAACCATATTGAAAGCAGTGACTTCTGAGCTGACGCTGGCTCACACATCATCCTGTCCTAGTGGACTGAAGATGAACTGCTGTAACAAGTACTGTAAATAGGCATCCCATGATGTTGTGTCTGCTTAGATCACATCAAGTCATTGTATGCACAGATTTACGAAAATACCTCCATTCACTCCTCGTCCCACTCTGGCTCAGGACCTCTCTCCCTCGGCTGATCTTATTTTCCTGAAATTCATTAAGTTTAATTCAGGCTGAATGACTCAGGTCTCACTGGGCTGCGAGGAGCAAACAAGTTTACAGCATTTCAACACGTTTAGAAAAAACTGCAAAGGTGTTTCAACATGTACAGATCTGAGAGAGAGTTACGGCAACACAGGAAGTGGCTCCTCATCCACCCTTCCTTTTCTCTGCAGTCATATAAAACTTAATAAAAATGAATGTCCATTTTCTAGAAGCTCTACCGTTTACTGTACATTTCCTTAAAACTGAAAATAATGATTTCACATCACGCACTTTCACATCAGGACTCTTGGTATTGTCTTTCAAATGCAGCTTTCATTTTGATGGAGTTTTCTGCTGTTGGTGCATGAAAAAACACGAAGTGAAAAACACCCTGAAAAGAGCAGTGGACAGAAGTGAACTTTAGTCAAAAGAAAATATCATGCAGACTAAGGTACATTTAGAAAACAAAATGCGGCCCAGTCCTGGACCCCTTCCCAGTGGTTGTGCACCCCTTAGTTTATGCAAATATATTTTATATACTAATGTATATTACAGCATGTGTGTCAGTTGTCAGCCCTGTTGCTTCACCTGAATAAGCAGCATTTATTGCTGGCGGTGCAAAGAACACACTGCTACACAGCTCAGTCACATGTTCTTGAAAACCTGTCTTTGACCAGTCGACAAGTTACCAGAGGTTTGACCACAAGTTAGAGGAAGTTTCTTCAGTTCAGCCATAAAGGAGTGTTTTGGTTAGAAAGCCTTGCCCTGACAGTTGGAGACAGTTGTGACAACAAAGCGCTCATTGACCAGTGTGTACATTAGACCTGAATAGTGAAAGCAGGTCCTTGATGGATTTGGGTGATCGACCTTTTCATCTGTGGGCATAGTGAGACACGTGAAGCGGATGTTAGTGGTCGAAGTGAGTAACAACTCACCCAGGTGCACACACAGACTTGTCTGTTATTCACTCTGTACATGATAGGAAACATGCAGTAGGAAGAGTGAAAGACCTGCACCGAAAACCTCAGCCCTGACAAACAACTTTACTGAGATTATACCTTAAGCTCCTTATAAAGCATGCAGGTCCAAAATCTGGCACTCGGCCAATCATGGTACTTAAATAAGTTTAATATGGCCCATGACTGATTTTTTTCTTCTCCTTCTTCTTTGTGTTTTCTGATTTATCTCAACAGAATAACAAAACTGACCAGATAAATGTTTCCTTGGTTTATTACACAGGCAACAGTTGACCCTTAAAATATCAAACCCACCCATTCTGATTATTTAAATTTTTTTTTTAGCAGGTCAAATGAACAAATACACTATGTCTGTTTTTCTAATTTGTCTTAAGCAGCGCTTCTTGTTTCTACTGTCAAATCTGGAGAAAAGACAAAGAGAACAGCAGCCTGTTTTAGGTTAGAACACATTATTTCTTATTAATTTCCTATGAATTAACCAGTATCAGCACCAAAACTGTTCACAAAGATCAAATTAAAATCGGTAAAACCAGTGGAGTCAATCACAGCACGCAGTGTTGTTACATGAAATGCTTTTTGTATTCCAAGTCTTTCAAATCGACAGGTGGATGGCAGATTCGTCCAAAGGTACATTTACAATTTTGTTAGGTCATAAACGTCACATTCTTAGAAAAGAAACAAAATCTAGATAAAACACAAAGACATGGCTTTCCATTCACTGAACTAGGACTGTTCTTGTTGGGCGAGTACCTTGAGAAGGAGCCTGAACGTGACCCTAAAGCAGTGGATCGGTGACAGGCTTGGCTTCCTGCCGGTTTACTGCAGACTGATGATAGAAAAATGTTCTGATTGCCATCAAGACGCACTGCGGAGGAGATTAGGCCTCAACTGTTGGCACAGTCAGGAATATTTGTTGGAAGGCACTTGACAGGGGGTTAAGCGACGGCAATGCAATATAGTCCTGGATTGTGCACACTGAGCGGGACCGGGGGGTGGGGTTGGGGGGGCACCATCAGTTAAGTGCAAGTTTATCGATGAACCCACTCACACCAGACCAGGGAGGGACCAAAATATTGGCGAACAACACACAACTGCAAACACAGAATCTTAGGCTACGTCCACGCAAACACACCGTCACTGTGAAATGGTGCATTCACATGAAACTGTAGTAGAATCAGATCAGACCAAGAGTGATTTCAAATATATGTCTTCGAGGGTTTTCAGTGTGTAAATAGCACACATAATTTGGGCAGAAAATCAATCAATGAAAACCAAAAATAATGGACGGTGTGAAGTGTGGATGTAGCCTCTGTGGGAGGCTTCGCACCACCTCTCCATTTGGATCGAAACTCAGGGTCTGTTCACACTTGTACATTGCTTTCTTTGGACCAAAGCGGAAAAAAACAAAACACAAACAGTCAGTATCTTCCTCTGACTGGATGGATTCAACAAATAATAAGGAGATTTCCAAACAATACTATCTACAGAGCAGAACCTGTACGGCCATGACCAAGACATCTGAAGGTTTCGGTAAACTGCACCGACCAATCAACAACAACTTGATTCATTAGATCACTTTGAATGTGCCAACATACAATTTTGTTTGTACTTTTTGCATGACAAAATCAAATTGTGCCATAACAAGTGTGAACACACCCTCACATTGTACTAAAGTATAAGATTGGCAAAGTATTTTACACAAGTCCAGGCCTCCTTCACCCACCAGACCAAATAACAGGGTTCAACCCATACCGTCACCAGCAAGACTGACAGAGTGTAGCAGTACATAGAACAAATAACAACCACACAAAAATGAAAAGTCAAAATTAAAAGCCTGTGTCTCTTAGGTTTCACATTTAGACATTCCTATAGAGGCACATTACCAGAGACGGGTCATATACAAAGCTATATTAAAAAATACAAAAAACATTCAAGTACTTTGTCATGTAAACACTTTTCCAGACTATTATACATAATCGATTGTTGTCATCGTTGATGTTTTTCTTTGTTTGTGTGCAACAATAAGACAGCAGTGTGAGGAAAGAAATACATTTTGGCCATAAGACTGCAGGACGGGGTCCAGGCTCAGTGTGACCCGGGGTGGCACTAGTACTGTTGTTGGTGTGGACTTTTAGAGCAGGACACATGAGCAGCACTTGTCGCCCCCAGTGGGCGCAGTGGTGTAGTTCATCTGTCTGACTATCTCTGCAAACAGTTCGTCCACTGATCCTTTATTCTTGGCTGAAGTCTCCATGAAGGGGCAGCTCCAGTCCTGGGCCAGGGCTTTGCCTTCTCCTGAGGACACCTCTCTCTCACCCTCCAGGTCCACCTTGTTGCCCACCAGGATCATGGGCACCCTCTCGTACCTCTTCACCCGGATGATCTGGTCTCTCATGGGCTTGATGTCCTGGAAGCTCTGCTGGTTGACCAGGCTGTAAACCAAAATAAAGCCCTGTCCGTTCTTAATGTACAGGTCTCTCATGGAGGCGAACTGCTCGGTGCCCGCCGTGTCCAGGATCTCCAGCACAGACGGGGACGAGTCCACCTCGATCTCCTTCCTGTAAAAATCCTCGATGGTTGGGTCGTACTTCTCGATGAAGGAGCCCGTCACGAACTGGACGGTTAGCGCGGATTTACCGACTCCACCCGAGCCCAAAACAACCACTTTGTACTCCCTCATGGCCAAGGAGGAGAGGAGAGGACAGAAGAGGAGAGGAGGGGGAGCAGGAAAAGGCAGACGCCTTTTTCAGCGACGAAGGCTCCTCTCTCCCACCCGCTGACCAGCCCCGATGTTTGCAACCCAAGCAGGCTGGGAAGGCTGCGCTCTCGCTCGGTTAGGAGTCAAAATCCAGGCTGGCAGATCCGGTAAGGGCGGAGGAGCACGGATCCGAGGAGAGTGGCCGCTCCTGGACATTAGCGTGGTGGATTAAAGCTCATTTTCATCGCACTGTATTGTGCAAATGTGCAGAGAAGCGTGATCGCTTCGCTCCTCCAGCACCGCGTTTCCTGCCCACATCCTCAGCTGCGTCAGAGGCTAAAGGCTCAGTTCCGCTTTCTTAAAGGAGCCGTTTTGCCCTGTTCCATCTGCTTGGTTGGTGACAAAGGGGGCGGGCACAGGAACGCCATTTCCGCTCTAAAACGGAAACTGTGCGCGTATCGGTTGCAAAACATGAAAAACTTGCATTGACCGGATGCTAATGGTTCTCAAACTATGGTACATGTCCCACCGGTGGGACTCGTGCGCCCTCTGGTGGTACATAAGTGGTGACTAAAATTATGATGGCTGGTGTAATCCTGATGGTGCCTTTGAGTTACACCCAATAACGGTGTCATCTATTTACTTTGGAATAGCAAATAAAATTAAAAATCCACACTGTGAATGGCCCAGGCACAGAGTGTTACTCGAAGTAAATAAACGAGACACACACAGATTACCAAACCACAGCACCGTTGCATGAGCAAATCAAATATTATTTTATTCAGATTTTTTTTTCATCCATACAGCAATAGTCTATTATGGCAACAATAAAATGTGCATTAACAAATCTGAAGACGTAATAGTACATTATTGTGTTGCAACTGTTAGCAGGTACATAATCTGATGGTTGCACTAACAAGTAAAAAAGCAGTCAAAGCGATCGTGTGCCCCCAGCAGGGAAAAGAAACCTTGGTTCCAGTCTGAGTCTGGACACTGAGCATCGGAATTGGAGTAAATGGAGCTTTGGTTCTGAAGCGCTGAACAGCAGCCCGCAGTTAGAGACGTGTGGACGCTGACCGGCGACTGTTACATTCATTTGAGAGAACAAATTTGCCAAATACGTGTGGGTTTGGTTTGGTGAGCCTTCACCTGCTGAGTGCACAAACATGAGAGCAGAGCAGAAACAACTTCCCTGTGAGTCAGTGTCGGCTGTAATTATATGGCTATGAGAAAAGTATCTGGGGTGCATGAGTGCTAACATATCGTTCTGTATATAATGTCATTTTTTTTTATTTCTGAAAAAATACGTATTTTCTATCACACAAGAGTAAGATGGTTTGTATCTGACGTAGTATTTCTCCCCACGGTTGTTATCTACTGTATGTACGTACTGTATACTCTGAAGAGAAAAACATATAACTGTGTAGTTTGTAGTCTTGAATGAGTTATCTTTCCTTAAATACTGTCACTATGCGGTTTTCTTTTGTTTACATGTTTGTACTTTTACATGCAGTCAAATCAAACTATAATAGAATACAAATCTCTGATACTGAGGGTGTACAGTAACTCTACCATGGGAGCAGCAACACTGCATGACCAAGTCAACCAACAAATGATACATGGACAACAATGGGATGTGTCATCATATGAGAGGTCGGAGTCTGCATGACATGGGGACCTTAACCCCCCGGCAACATTTCCTGGCAACGTGAGCCACTAATAAAATAAGACAAATAGCGCATAGCTTTCTCTGAATGTATTGGCCAAGAAACTAGTGCCCATCTTTGCAAGCATTTTTTTTTAGCTGGTCTTCTAATTTATTTAAATTTAAATTAATCTAACAAAATTCCTTATAATTATAGATATTTTTTTTTATTCAAAATAATATCTCAATATGATACACATTTTTCTCTGTTCATTTGACTATATACAGAAGTGCAAAAAGTCAACCTTCGTCACTTAGGTTAGAACTCATCATCTGCAGCATTACGGACCTTTTCGGCCTGGAAAAGTCTTTCCCCAATCTCACTACCGACCGAACATCCAAACACCCGTTAATTTCACTGCTCGATTTGGCCTGACATTCAGGGCAAACTTAAGAAATAGTCCAACAAAAGTACATATCTCTTTTTTGAAATGGATACAGTAGAAAATAATTTGTACTCTTAAAACATGGACAATCTCTATCTTAATACAATATATCTCCACATGTTCGCAAGGAAATAATCTGCTTTTGTCGTCTTCTCTTAGCTAGGAGATGCTGCGATGGCAGCAGAAAAAAATAATTAAATTCATTTCTCGAGTTTAAAAAAAAATCTCTTTCATTAACAAAATTAAGTGATAATGTAACATCAACTGAAATGGACATCAGCTATATGAACGAAGTGAATATTTAAAACTGACTCAAAATATTATCCTTTATATGGTTTGATAAAGTTATGAATGTATACTACCTCAAAATCTACAACGGCTATATCAATGTTGTCAAGTAATATATAGTAAGGCAAAAAAAAAAAAATCTACAACTACATACCTCAATAGATTCAAATCCTTAAGTAGTACATAACACAAGTTCAATTAAATTTTAAGAGTATTTGTTATCTTTACATAGAGAAAATGAACAAACCAAAAAAAAAATTAAAATCATAAGAGCCTTGTGATATAAAACATCATTGGTGTTCTTTACCTGCATGGTGATTGAAAGTACATTTGATTGGGTCGCGACCCATTCATTGCAATCTAAGGCTTTGTTAGGTTACATTACAATCGGTAAAGACACACGACACACAAACACGCACACACACGTGTGAAAATGAAAAAAAAAAGGACGTGTTCATACTAAAATCATCAGATAATGGAGGATAAACATGTTTCCTTATTTGATGGAGCCTCGGTGAAGATGCTCGTGAACACGACTATGAAGAAAAACTGTGCTTTGGTTTCCATAGTCACATCTACAAGTGAACGACAACCTTCATGCTCTGCTTGAAACGCAAGTCATACGTTGAATTCGACGTAAAAAGTTTTAAGGTTGATGACGACTGGATGTGGGATTTAAACACGGTGGTTGGACGAACAATCACTCAAGTGCACATGTGGTTTCAATGACCTAATAGACCTTTGGGTCGGTTGTTTTTTTTTTTTTCTATTCCTATCTACACATGGCTCAATAGTGCTTTTTTTTTGGAGACACAGTTTTAGAGTTGCCTCTCTTTAAAAGAGGGAAAACAAGGTAACACAATGTCAATCGAAGCTACACCCCTCCATTTCACCAGGCTTTAGAGTCAATGGACTTGAGCAACAACTTAATCCCAGTAAGAAAATGCTAATCTATTAACAGAGGTACAGACTTCAGGAAAACCCAACATTTTCAATTTAAAAATAAAAAAAATAATAATTATAACATTTTTTAAAAAACCCACGTCTAAAACAAATTAATAAGATTAAAGTAAAAATAAAAAAAAAAACACTTAAAATGGAGATTTTGGAAACAAAATAATAAAAAAGCCATACATCTTTTTTCTTCTTTTTTTTTCTTTCTTTTTTTACCCTCGGTAAACAAATAACACTGCTGAGATAACACTCTGGTTTTAGCTGTATGGCCTAGATGGCACATGACAAGGTGAGAAAAAAGTTAGCCTGGCTGTGCTTTCAAGATACACAGGTATGTTGGATCACCCAGAACATTCATTTGTCCAAGACCCTCATTTCAACATCTAGTTTCACTAGTAGCCATAAAAACACAATACTGTACATTTCTAATTCTTTTGAAAAGAAAAACAAAATCTGTTAAAATTATTATTGTGCCTTTCAGATTTAAATTGAAATTCAAGGTGCACGTCTTGTAAACTATGAAAAATATGGCTATTGTTTAAAACAAAAATAAAGCAGAACAAATAAAAAAAAGGAAAATAAAGATCTTGGTCTACTAACGTACCAGCACTGGGAGTCGCCCGAGGCAACCGCGCTCTTGACCTTCTGTGAGTGCAGTATTGATAACAATTAGAGCAAATTGAGTGCTATGAGATAGTCAGACACAGAGGTGTAATGTCAACACTTCCCACATGGGCGGAGACAAACACTAACCCTGGCACGAAGGACCTCCTTCTTTTGGCTGGACGTTGAATTTGACGGCAAATTCTTCTAGATAATTGATATGTGGGACGATGGCACAGATCGTGTGTTGCACCCTTGATGTTTGCATGTGTGATGAGACCATCGCGGTGGACTGGGCTAGAGATGGCAGCTCCTCCTCGTCCTGTTGTTTATAACATTCTGAAGGTTATCTACATAAAGGCTGAACTCTTTTGGCTTGGACTGTGCCAGCACACATTCATTTGATCTGAAAGACACAGAGAGCACAGCTTTAAAAGGGAGCACATTTTTGTCTTCAGCAATATAGAGTGACATATACAAATATCAGTGCTGGGTGCTGCTGATGAATGCGTACAGACTTTGAGGTATTGTATACTTCTGTATACCTATTTGTACACTTACGGAGAAAAGGAAAACTCTTGTGTAAAAAAAATCCTAAATTGGATTTAAAAACAGTGAGTCAAAGTTTGGCTTTGCCCTCGTGTTTTGCTAAATAAATAAAAATAACCCTCCGTCACCAGTAAAGCAGCATTTTTTTTCTACAGACTGACATGTTGGACAAATGGAAGTCTGAGCAATAAGCCTTGTTTGTGCAAAAACAAAAAAGTGAACTTACTGTTCTTAAGAGGAACTACATTTGAGTTAGGAACTTGTGACTACTCAGATGATCTGCAGATATTATTGGAATCTGCAGGTAGAAAACAAACAGGGATCAAATGAAGCAACAAACGGCGACTCGAGGCGGACGCTTGGCCAGCAAAACACCCGCAGATCAAAACATTTTAACCACATTTGTTTGCAGGGAGTAGAGTTCATTGCTGGAAGAAAAGACAACGATGGCAGGAGAGACAGAGGAAGCAATTTGGCTACAGTTTGGCACAGGTCATTCGTGATGTGACATGTCGATAGGGATAAGACAATTCCGGACAGCGGGGAGGAAACAATGTGAACTGAAGGGACAGTCGAGATGAGTGGGACGCGGGGTCACTGTCAGTGAGGCGGTCCCCCATGCAAACCCAAGTCCTCCATGTTGTTGACCTGCACACCTCGACAAAATGTAGAAAAACTAGCTCTTAACCAGAGAAAGGCAACAGCGTCAGGTTTCCACGTCAATTCTTCATTCCCCACCAAAAACAGTAAATGTCACAAATATTATTCACTGTAGAACTTCGATGATGAGTATGTCAGCTCTTGAACACAAAGAATATGGTAAAGCTTCGCCTTGTGCACTGGAAGCAGCAGCGTAAAAATAAAAAGGAACAAAACAAAAGCCAAGCACCAAAGGTCACAGATAGCTGTGCGTATAGCTCTTAAAAATGTAATTAGAATGTCTACCTCATACATACCAATTGCATGTATTCGTTGGTAGTCAACTTTGATAAGGAAGAGTCCTCAAAATAGGAAAGGACAAAAATCGAAGTTACAATGAGAAAATATTGAATGCAGTACAGTATATGTTCCTCCACATGTAAGTCAAACCAAACAAACTTTCACTGTGTTGTTAACCTTAACAGCACGCTAGGTCAAAGTATGTATCAACACATGTTGGTGTAGGCCAACAAGAGGGAGTACTGCCTTCTACCCAACCCACCCCGGGCCATAAGACACAAGCATCCCAGATCGCCAATGTGCAATGACGTACAGACAGAGAGACGTACAGACAGAGAGACAGACAGACAGAGAGACCAGTCAGACAGTCGATAGAGAGACAGACAGGAAGACAGACAAATAATATAGATAGGACAAATAGATACATGGAGAGACAGACAGATAGGTAGATACATAGACAGATAGAGAGACAGAGGGATAGACAGAAATAAAGACAGATAGACTGACACAGACAGTCAGACAGACAGACAGCCAGTCAGACAGTCAGTCAGACAGACAGCCAGTCAGACAGACAGCCAGAGAGAAAGACAGACAGACAGACACTCAGACAGACAGACAGCCAGAGAGAAAGACAGACAGACAGAAAGGCAGACAGACAGAGAGACAGTCAGACAGATAGACAGACAGTCAGACAGCCAGACAGTCAGACAGACAGTCAGACAGACAGCCAGACAGACAGACAGAGACAGACGGCTACATGGTAGTGGTGGTGCAAACCTGATTGGTGGAGGCAGTTGCGAAGGGAACACTTGTGGCAGATGTGGTGGCTGCAGACACAGTGGCTGGATTACCACCGTGCATCATGGGAACTTTTTTGGAGGGAAAATCATGTAAGCAAAAGTTCACAGAGGGGCAGTGTAGCCACACACACACCAAGCAAATAAAAAAAGAGAGGGGAGAGAGAGAGAGAGAGGGAGGGAGGAAAATGACATCGAAGAGGGATTCGATTTAACTGCTCCCTTTTCTTCCCTCTGATAAACCAACAGAGAAGTCAGTCCCCTACGGCAGGTGTGGGCAAAGCTTTTTGACTCCCAGGCCACAGTGGGTCCTAAGATTTGACTCGGAGGCCGGGTCAGGAGCAGATGGTTGGAGCATTTGTGTGAACTAAGATAAATGACATGTAAAAGTCAAGCATAAAGGCTAAAATGCTAAAATGCTTTAAGCCTTTTCTATCCTATCTATTGGGGAAATACAGGCACTGCAGGAAAAAAGCAGCAGTATAATGGTAATATAAATTAGTAGTATAATTTAGACAAGGTTGGTGGGCCGGATTAAAATGTCAAACGGGCCACATCCGGTCCTAGTTTGTCCAGGTCTGCTCTACGGAATAACTGTCACTGTGTTCATATAGGATGAACCAGGATAAGAAATTAACCAGAGGGTTGGAGATATTCCCATGACATGGGTATTTACTGCTCTCGTTGAATATGACGAACTTTTGCAAAATGTCCATCTGGACCTCTGTAGCACGGACGGCTCTCAAATCTTGCTATTAATAGCCTCAAGTAGACAGATTTGGCTAGGATAATAGCTAGACGTTCATTTTATACTGTTGATACAACAGCTAAATTACTCATATATGCGTTAATACTACAGGTCAACTAAGGTTTCACCTAAAATCTTTATGGCAGAGCAGATAACGGGAAAGTTATAATTGAACTCCCTCGCTTGTCTCCTCACAGGGTTTTTTTGAAGTTTTTTAGACCAGCCAGAAGCCAAGTTTAGAAAAGCGTGAAAACAAGACATCAGGAAATAAACAGTGTGTGTGTGTACACAGATAATATCATAGAAAGTACATGACAGTTAAAAATATATATTATAACAGTTCAATGTTTCTACATTTATCTTTCCGTATGTGGACTTTTGCTTGTGCTTCACATTACAGTGATATCTTTACTGAACCAAAAACAGTGATTCTCAGGTCACCAAAATCTCATTTATGAGTTAAACATCACTGAAATACTATTAAAACAAATATTGATGGTTGGATTTTGATGATGTGTGAGTCACAGACATGAGGATACACATAACTTAAGAAAGAAAGCTGGGACCTACCAACGCTGGCTGCAGGTGTCATGCACAATATTGAGCCTGCCCATCATGCAGTGCAACAGGAAGTGGATTGGATAAGAAAGAGAAATCAAAACAGCCCATCACAAGGATCGTTAGAGTGAGGGGAGAGATAAGGTGGGGAGAAATGGTTAATATCTCTTTGACACAGTGATTGGAAATAAAGGCGAAGGCTTGAACTCGTCATACAGTAATCTGTTAATCAATCGACAGTTAATTCATTCTAAACCTCTATCTCAGGCGTAATGAGTATGAATTTGTAATACACCAACTACGACTTTGAACCCCCATCCAGCATCATTCAACCCAGCCTATGCTTAAGCCTCAGCCACAGCAATTTCCATCAAAAACCATGATCACAGGATCCCAGAGAAGAAGGTTACCACATTAGCAGTGTCTAGAAGCAAAAAAAAAAAAAATCTATATTTTATCTTTAGGCAGCAGGGCTCTAAACTAACCAGTGCTCCCAGTGAAATCTTCAGGAGGGCATGCAGAGGGTCAGGGAACCAGAGATAAAACCATCGTGCACTGCAGTTTTTTTGTCATTTCCTTTTCTCACATTATACAAAAACAGTATAATATAACGCTGCATTTCAAAAAAGTTGGTACACTTCAAAAGCAATTTAACAGAAACAATGTTTTTGTCTTAGCAGAGAGCTGTGTGTGTGGTGATACTGTGAAATTATTGTGGTCTGTGTTGTTAGTCTTCCCCTGTTGACTGTGCCAATTTGTGTGTAAAGTGTACCACCTTTTTTGTAAAAGCCTATAAAAAGTATAAGGCTGCAGGTTGAACAAGGGGTTAATCAGAGGTGTGACGAGCACTTGGGATTTGTTGAAACCATCTTCTCCGTTAGTTCTAATTATTTAATCTGAGAGATTAAAATGTAATCCCTTTCTCTGGTAAGCATTCGCAACTTCCTCATTCAGCCTGCACAGGATAAGCAATGTGAAGTTACACTGTAATACTGCAGTTAGTACGCACGAAAACATTTGTACTTCTCCGTCGACAGCTTGTCTATATGAAGTACCATTTCCATAATGCAAAACAACAACGGCGTTAGGAAACAAATCTGAATAATACTGAGGTTTTAGAACTTTATACTATGTATGTAAAAAGTCCACATCTAAAGTGAGACCTAACAGTTTTTTTTTCCAACTCCAACTAAACAGAAGCCAGGTGGGACTGAACCAGGCATTCTCAGGCCACACAGAGCACCGGCTGTGGTCTAGTATGGAGTCATACCTGATGGAAGGAAAGCAGCCTGCTGCTGAAACTGCATGTTGGCCAGGGCCTGTTGGTACTGGAGCATGCCAGTGTTAAACATGGCAGAGGCACCGTTGGCCTTCTCCAGGGCTGCCCGCTTTGGAAGGGGAGCCATGACACTAGGAGTGATGCCCTGCTCAGCCAGACGGAGGTCAGTGAGGAAAAAAAAAACAAAAACAGACAGAAAGAGAGACAGGTGCGTGGACAAGAGAGAGAGTTGAAGTGTTGGAGAGGAGCAAAATAAGAAAACAAAAAAGGTACATATGTTAGAGTGCATCATACTAACAGTGTCATTACATCCTTGTTTGTACAACAACAACATCAATATCTTCATATCAGTAGCAAGCAAGCAGCAGTCTGACACAAGTACTACACAAGCAGGAGCATGGTGCTATCGGAGCTACTGGCTAACAAGCATTATTCTTACTTTATTTATTTTAAAAAAACTTACTTGGATATATTCACTTTGTACTCATAAGGCTGACTAAATGCAACATAAGCAAGCATAACTATTTGAACAGTAAGGCTGCTAACAAGTGGTGGAACAAGTAGGAAGCACAGAGAGAGGGAGGCTGCACTGCTAGCTCCATGATATACTGAGTAAGCCATGTTTAAGTGATGTTCACTCTCAGGCAAATTTCAAAAATGGTCTCAGGCCAAGGGACGTGAGTCAGATGTTTTTCCCACTGGCAAACCTTTGTAGCTCTAAAATGAAAGCTCTGTTTGTGGCTCTTGACATGAGGCCAGTCTTGAGGTCAGAATATCCGTGACACGATTTGAGGATGGAGTGAACTATCATTTGAACAGTAACCGTCTGTTAAGGTGGGATCACTATCGTATGTTTAAAAAAAAAAAAAAAAAAGACTGTTCCTGTTAGCCCCACCCTTATCCATCTGAGATACACTAACAACATAGACATGCACAAATTTGATTGAGCTGCTCCACAACACAGGACACTGATTTTGGACGTAAGACTGAAGCCATGCCACCATAATAGAAGCTCTACTACACTAGCTCTCACTGACTGTTGTTAAAAAGGTAATAAATTGATTGTGGCTCCTCATCACAAATTCTACATATGAATTTGTGTTTCAAGTTATTCCTAGGCCGAGAGAAAAAAAAAAAGAAAGAAAAACAGTATTTTGTGCTGGATTCCACATGAACTACTTAAAGCCACAATCATTTTATCACAGGCAAAAATGACAGTTCAACAGGAGGAAAAAAGAGACATTACACTGAGACAACAACAACAACAACATAAATAGCTAGGTATCTTTGGTTAAAACACTGCTCTACAACAAAGCCACATGCCAAGCTAAAAGGTGAAAGGTCATAGTACCAGGTCAAAGGTTGCGTCGAGGGGTCGCTTCAGTGATTTGACAGCCGACTGAGTCTTAATTAGCAGGCAGCGAGCACATGATGGCAATGGGCCAATGGGGTTCAAGCGCATTAACATAAACCAGCAAGCAGAGGTGCATCATGGGGGCAGCAGTGCAGTTTGGGTATAGGTGAGAAAAAACAAAAACAAATAAAAAAACAAATCATTGGAATGCAATATACAAAGGGGATAACAGGACTAAGGCATGCACAGTGTGGACACTAGCTCTGCTGCTCAACAGTTACATGATCTCCCATCATCAATAGAAACGACTACTGCTACATTAGTTACTGACACACAAAGATGGATGGATATAGCCATGAGAAACTTATTTAACCGTCGCTTCAAGTCATAGAGTGTACATAAGAAATGGCAATAGCCAACCTGGCTAAAGGTGAAGCTACAAAAGTGCTCCACTAGTTTAATAAGTGAGTCCATGTGAAATGAATGTCTTGGAGAAACATGGTTGACTTCTAACTGCAGCTAATGTCAGCAGACAGTTAAATTGTCTACTGAAATTAAATGTACTTAGTAATAACCCAGTTGAGGGTCTTAAACATTAGCTTTAGGTCTATTTCAGAATTTTGGCTACTTCTAAGGTCCATTAAGGTCAAAAGGTCAGCCCTAAAAATCACGTTAAAAAACAGGGACGTCAGTTCAGTACGTGAGCTGAACATCATTAAGTCTCTGTCCTAGAGTTTTGGCATCTTTAAATTATTTCAATTAAACTAATGTTAAGTCTCATTTTACCCCAGACTTCTATTCACATGAAGTTACTTAGAAAACTGTGGAGCACTTCCTGGAGTGTCACTTATCCAACTGAATGGCTACATCCATTTCTTATATACAATATACAACAGTGGGATACAATATAATTGTGTTGAAAATACAATAAACACATACAATAATAGTGATGTCAAAAAAGACTAATATGGGACAAAATAGGCTAATATGGCTAATAACTACTATTCACTGGCAGTGTTGCTGTGACACAGAGGTAACAGTATAGAGGAAGTTGTTTTTTTATTATTATTATTAATGTAAAGAGGTAGAGAAGTTGATAGAAAGCACAGAAACAGTCACAAATAGGTCATAAATAAGGCCAGGGCATCAGAGGGAGGAGACAGAGGACTCTCTGCTTAAGGCCTGGGATGAGATGAACAAGGAACAAGACAGTTGTTTTGTCACATTAGTATAAAGATAAGATAGAATAAAGATAAAAAGCCATGGCAGTTACAACATGCCATGTTCCAGTCCTTCTTCATATCACCCAGCTCTCAGGAGATTTTACCCAGACCATCATGCAGACCATTTATAATCCAAGCTAATGGTAGCCAAACTAAAAAGCTACAAAGGTGCCACAGAATATTATGAACTAAAAGATGCCATTTATAAACGTCCTGACATTGAACAATTCATTATAAGGCTGTTCTTTGTGTGAATGAATCTGCCCGTGATTTCACAGACTGCTTACCATGGCTGCGGCGGCTGTGGCCTGGTTCACCTGGTGCTGAGTCGCCTTGATCTTAGCCTGCAGATGGGCTGGTGGGTGAAAGTACTTGCACTTTTCTCGGGAGCATCGACCCTTGATGTAGTCCATGCACACGGTGACCGTGTTGTCGTTGGTGTCGATCATGGTGCTGTCAGCGGGGTGGGCGAAGCGACAGTCGTTCTCACCGCGGGAGCAGTTTCCCCTCTGATACTCCCTACACACCTGGAGAGTGATGAGGAAAAAGAAACATAATTCAGTGTCTGAGTTTCTTGAGTTGACAACAATATCAGTGCTATTTTGGTCTAATCCTGCTCCTGCTCAAACTTTGAACACATATATCTGTAGAGACCTGAGAGGAATATATAATTAATATCATCAACAGTTGAACATATTTTTGACCACAGTAGAAAATCTTTCCCATTAGCCTTTTGCGAATATGTTGTTTCTAAGATTTTCCGATTTTAATTAAAAAAAAACAAAAAACATCGGACTACGTTCCATTTCATCTGCTCTCCAGCTTTACTTTTCTTTTTCCAAAAACATATGAAAAGGAACACCATGTCAGGACTTTAAAGGGAAGTACAGTAAATGAATGACTTTTTTCCTCTAAAACTTCCCCTTCCATCACCAACTGAACTTGAATTGCCTACAGCTCAGTTCTTCTTGTTGCTCAGTTCCCGTGTTTTGACATGGATGTTACACAAAAGGTCATTTGACTGAAACTTCTGCATTTCTTGTAAATGCCTTCTACCGTATGTGAGGAGTCATCACAGCCACATTTTAAAAAATATAGATATACTTTTTCAGTTTGACGCCAGGGGGCAGCACCGTCTTCTATTTGCTGCTTTTTTGCCGCTCTTTCTCTACTGACTTCAACCTTAGATGCCTTAACCTACTGCACATAAACTTTGTCATGTTTTCAGCTGTGGTTAAAGACTTATATAAATACAATATATAAATAAACACTTTATATAAATAAATAAAACGGTCTCTATTCAAATATTAATACACTCCAATTTTTGTAGAAACACATTGTTGTAGGCTTTTCTTAAGAGTTTTATTAATACTACAAATAAATAGAAAAGAACTACATAATGGTAATCTGTCAACATTACCTCAAGTCTGTCTGTTCTCAGCAGCTTCTGGGCTGCAGCAGCAGCGTTGGGGACTTGGCTCATGGTGGGGCTGGAGGCCATCAGGACAGGGGTGCTGGGTAGGATCTCTGGGGGCATCAGGCTGGGTGAGACTGGGCTCAGGTAGGGATTAAAGGCTGCGGCGACCGCTGCTGCTGCACTGGCGTTTGTGGGCAAGCCTGGCGTCACTGAGAACATGGGCTGGAGGAGGACACAGGTGAGGCAGAGGAATGAGTGTGCAGCAATACTCTTGCGGGTTAGGGTTATACTGGGGAAGAAGCAGGGCTGACAGAAGAGGACTGAACGAGCCACACACACACAAACACACACAGCATACGTGAGCGACGTCACATGCTTGGACCCTCACCATGTGCAGATGCTGTGGTATGTTCATACGTGTGTGTCCTCTCACCATAGGCGGCAGCTGCGTGCCAGGCATCATGGCATTGGCGAGCTGCATCTGGTGGGCCAACATGGCCATGTTCTTCTGCTGGATCAGGTTGTTCCTGCCATTGATCTCCAGCTGAGTTTTTAGGTGTGGAGGAGGGTGCAGATACTTGCAGTTCTCCCTGGAACAACGGCCCTGAAAAGGAGGCAACAACAGCAGAGTTTTAATGAGACTGGTGAACTTTGTTGTGTCTTTGGACATTTTATTTTCTACTGCATACGGTAGTCTCACGGTGGTCATAGAAAAAAACTAAAGGCTACGGCAAGTGGAAGAAAAGTCAGAGGAGAAAACTACAAACTCTTATTGTATCCTTCAGCATGCCATCGGGACAAAACATACTTAAAATCCAGCAAAGACCTAACTCCAAGTGTAACTGACTGAGTCCTACAGAAAATGTGACCTAAAAACCAGGATCCACTGAAAAAGATAAAAGAATAAAATATGAAAAATATAAAAAAAGAAGACAGATATCATTATTAATAATAATAATAATTTGTGCTGCCTAAATAGAGTTTGATAATGTTCATCAGCTGCAGCCCTCTCCGTCCAGCACTAATTGTTTTGATTCCATCAGTCCTAACAACAACACGTCTCTGTGTGTTTGTGTGTTCCAGTCCCAGGAGTGCATGACTGCGCCGCTGCTATCCAGACATCCTGCTTCGCTACATGTTTACCTGACACTATAAATACAGCAGGCTCATATGATCTGTACATATTGTATTAGCAGTCATCTGGAGGTCACACTTCAAAGCTTGAATAATTATCACAGACAGGGATCCCATTTTGCTGCCTGCTGTGAGGATCCAATTATACCTTCCGGCCCAGAGAGGAGGAAGAGGAGGAGCCTGTGGAGACGCCTTAGCCGCCACAGCCATGCGTACAT